GTGGAGACCCCGCCGGAAACAGCACGGCGGAGCTTGGGATCAAGTGGGCGAAGAGCAGAGTCAGAACGCTCATCAAGAGCGCCGGGTCCCTTCCTCGAGAATGGCCAATGGCGATAGCTCATGCTTCGGCTTCTTTGTGGGTGAAGGCCTTTCCAGATAGCCCGTGGGCGGCGAGACCGGCGACTACGTTTGGAAATGAAGTTTGGTTCAGGTCAAAGACGTACCAAGGGAAAGCCGAAAAGAAGCATGACGCAGCGGGCACAAGGTGGAAAAGAGGATGGTACAGGGGACCTACAGTGGATGTGAAAAGGGGCCATTTGATTATGAGAGAAGATGGAGGCTTGACTGTGGCGAAGAGTGTGAAGTTTGATGTGGTTGATCCAGAGCGAGATCTACAAGGCCTACTACCTCCAGCCATAGCCGAAGGCCTACCTGAAGAACTCCTCGAAGCCTCCTCACCACCCTCAAAGACAGAGCTGCGCAAGGAGATAGAGTTCAGAGCAAGGATGCTGAATGACCAACGGCAGTTTGATGTGGACAACGTGGAGAAACTCTACGATCTACTTGAAATTCTGGGAGATAGTGATCGTCGATTGTCAAAGAAGACTACAACGACTTCCTGGTACACGGGTGCCTTTGTTCATGGAGGAGTGGCTGGTGTGAGAGCGAACCTGAAGGAGTTTCCCCAGACCACTAAGTATTTGGTGAATGTCGCAAAACACCATGCTGGTGATGTGAGTTTTTCAGCGATTGGGATTTCCAGAAATGCCCAGCTTGGCCTTCATCGTGATGTTCATAACTATGCCAAGTCGAAGAACTATGTGATGCCCCTGAATGATATAGACGGGGGTGCGTTATGGGTTCAAGACGAGGACCTCCCGGAAGAGAAAGCGGTGAAGAACAACCTACCCAATGGAAGGGAGCTGAAGGGAAAGATTATCGAGCTACGTAAGGGCGAGGTTGTGGACTTCTCCCCTCGAGTATGGCATCAAGTACAACCATGGAAAGGACAACGAACGATGTTGTTGATGTATACACCAAGGGCAACTAGATTGTCTATCGAAGGGGTGTCGCAGCTTGAGGAAGCCGGCTTTATACTGGACAAAGAGTCACTGGCGAAAGAAGATAGCGGTTCTTCAGATGAGGAGGAGCAAAAAGAAGAAGTGGAACTTCGAACTATGTCGGTGATTCAAGAACCAAGGGAGCCGGAAACGTTTGTGGAGGTTGAGGAGGACACCTTGATCTATGACAGGGAGGAGACGACGGTGAACCTCAAGAAAATGCTCAAAAAGGCGGAAGTACAGTATACCCCGAACGTGGGGGAGATCCTTATGGAGTGTGAGCGCCAGGGGAAGCAGTTGGATGTGACCCACACGGTGAGTTTGAACGACGTCAAAAAGGAGCTGGAGAAGTGGAAAGCCTCAGCCCTGAAGGAGTTCACGAACCTCACTGAAGTCAAAAGGGCATTCACTGTGAAGAAGAGGTGCGATTTGCCTGCAGGGTGCCGTATAGTTCCTTGCAAAGGGGTCTACACTGTGAAGCCGGACAAGAGCCCTCAAGGTTACCGAAGGAAAACAAGGTTTGTGGCTTGCGGTAACCATATTTCAGAGACGAGCCCGGAAGTGGACCTCTTTGCGGCTGGGCTTGATGCTACCTCTCTGAGAACGATGCTGGCTTTCAATGCAAAGCGAAGATGGCGAATAGGAACCACGGACATTCGACAAGCGTTTGTCCTCGCCAGGTGGAAAGGGCAACCAGTGGCCCTGGAACCACCGGGAATAGCTTATGAGCTGGGGATAGCACAAAGGGGAGATATGTGGTTTGTGGAACAGGCCATCTACGGCTTACGAGAGTCACCGGCATTATGGTCCCAACATAGGGACACCGAGCTGAAGGCAGCCCGGTGGAAAGCGGTGGTCGATGGAGAAGAGGTCACGCTAAAGCTCGAGCAGATGATCACGGATAACCAGATATGGAAAATAGTTCGAGAAAATTCCTCTGAACCCCTCGGCTACCTCCTGGTTTACATCGACGACCTGATGATCCAAGCCCCGGAGAATATCATGGAGACCTTCTTTTCATGGGTTGCAGCCAAATGGGAGTGCGATGCCCTGGATGTTTTGTCCACAGAACACCCAATACGGTTCTTGGGAATGGAGCTCCACAGCGTTCAAGGAGGAGTAGAACTGGCCCAAGAAGGTTTCATATCGGAGCTGCTGAGGGCATACCGTCATGATGGTTCAAGGTCAAAATCCCAAGGACCCAAAGAAACTCTTTTGTTGTCAGTTGATGAAGAGGAAGCTTTGATCAAGGGCCAGATGGACGCGATTCCGGGTCAGGAGGAGAAGGTGAAGCTGGCACAAAAAAGGGTCGGAGAGATGCTATGGTTGGCGGGACGTTCGAGACCAGATCTGCAGTATGCTACGGCAGTGATGGCGAGCCGGGCGACAAGGAATCCAGATGCCGTGATCAAGATTGGAGAAAGGATGCTGGATTACCTTTGTGAGACTAAGCATTTTCGGCTTTCGTTTGTGCAAGATGATGATTCGCCCGAACTCCGAGTCTACACCGATTCGTCCTTTGCTCCCAGTGCAGGACGGTCACATGGATGCGCGGCAGTTTTCTACGGCAACCTCCCGATCTCCTGGAGAAGTTCGAGGCAACCTTTGATGACAATGTCAACAGCGGAATCAGAGCTGCTTGAATCCATTGAGGGATCAATCCTTGGGATCTCGTGTCGGGGATTGTTGGAGGAATTAACCAGCAGAAAAATCCCAATGTACCTCCATGTGGACAATATGGCAGCATGCGCGTTGCTAACTACTTCGTCGGGAAGTTGGAGGACACGACATTTGAAGCTTCGATCGAATTGGCTCAAAGAAAAGGTTCAGAGCTCTGAAATAAGGGTTCGTCATGAACCCGGGGACAGTCAACGGGCTGACCTTGGAACGAAGCCGTTTACCAGGGAAAGATTACGACAGTTGGTGGCCTTGTGGAGCTTGATTGATCGAAGAACAGTGGCTGAAGTTCAGCAGAGGCGAGCACAAATTGATCCCACGTGGCTACAGCGTCTTCTACTTCTATGTCAAGTTTGTGGAACGGTCGCAGAAAAGTCAACTATTGAGCAAGAGATACCCTGGGATTTGTACGTGGTGGTGTTGGTGCTTGCAATTGCAGTGATTGGAATCTGGGAGGGGCTCAAGGGCTGCGTGAAGAAGCGAGAAGCCCGTCTGAAGGCGCTCAGGGCGAAAGCCAACAAGGCGGCTAAGACACAGCTTACCAAAGGTGAGCTAAAGGAGCTTCAACGACTTTTGTCCTTGGACCCCAGTGACTTGGATCAGACCCAGAAGGTGCGTTTGGTGGAACTACGTGAAAGGTTTGCCAACACAATGCCCGAGGGAACCTCTCCAATGCCGCGGTTCCCTGAGCCTATCTACCCTGACACCGTTTTAGGGGAAGCGCCCTCATCATCTACTACAAGGACTGCGAATAAGCAACCCCGTCCACCACCTCAGCGGAGCCCTACTACAAGAGATCAAGAGGTGCAGGTGAACATAGCACCTGCGTTTCAGAGAGTCACTCCAACGCCTCCGGTGCAGCGAGAAGTTGTTGCGGGTCCCTTCTACCAAGTTCCTGGACGTGATCATTTACATGTGTTCCGAGAGTGCTGGGGGCTACGGAATGCTGGGACGGTACAGCAAGTTACGCTGTGTAGGTGTTGCGTAGAGAACGGAGGCCGACGAATATACTGAGTGATGCTTCTCTGACGATGGCATCAAGGAGGAGTGCAGAGATTGCATTTCATGCTCAGTCGTCGGCTTGTGAAAACCTTGATTTGTGATGTTACTGCAAAGCGGTGCTCAAAGGAACGGCGATGATTTGTAAAGATGTACACACCATAGTAAGCAGAACCTGCTGAAGTCACGTCGCATTGCCTTTGAAGACGGAAAACAGTGAGATTTGCCCATGGCCGTTGGCGCAGCTTTAACTGCATAAGACCTTCTGCTGGGATACAGCCTTCTACATTTTAGTAGGGTTTTGGGCCCATTATACTAGAAAAGAGAAATAAGGAGCCCCCAACATAGTATGGGCAATTGTTGAGGTCCCTTTCTTAAGAGACGATAGCTGATGGTTTTCAGGGCTGGAATTTAAGGTACGGCTTGCAGAGAGTTTATGTATTTATCTTGAGGCGGAAGGCTTGAGGGCTTCGGTGCTGCGGTTCATGATATAAATCCTGCATTACCTTAAGGACCCTAAATTATGGTACATTCCTTTTTATGGGTCATGCAGGATTTATATCCCTAAACCCTGAAACCCTTTGGATCCCTTAAAGGAACCCCTTAAAGGTACCCTTATAGATCCCTTGAAGGAACCCCTTAAAGGTACACCCTTGGGGTCAGGAGTTTCAGGCCTTTGGGCTTGTGGGTTCGGGAACTGAGGCCTTCGGCGTTCATGATTTTCCCAGGGCTTGGGGGGGATAGAGTCTGTTTAGAGTTATCTGTAGCCCCAATTTAAACCCTACGAACTAGTACGTTATGTATATATATATATATATATGGGTGTCGTGTACAACATCGATAAGTACCTCAACTTGCTTATGCACGTAAGGGTTTATGATTAGGCCAGGCAGACAGCTGCTCAAGTATGTACCTGAATGTAAACAAATCTGTATTGATTTCTTGATATCAATGTTGGGGATTCAACCCTAAGCCCTGCGCAATCAACATAAGCCGTGCACCCTAAACCCTCCACCCTAAACTCTACACCCTACACCACACCTTACACCTCAAACCCTAAACCCTACACCCTGAACTAAACTCAAGCCCCAGAACCCTACAGTTTGGGCTTTCGGAAACCGGTCGGTTGCTCTGCTTGGCGGCCCAGGGGACTTAGTAAGTAGGTTATAAGCAGGGTTATAATTAGGGTACCTCCATTTGGGGTAGTTATAACCCTACTTGTAACCTACTTACTAAGTCCCCTGGGCCTCCAAGTGTGGCGAGGCCTGGAAATCTTGCGTGGAAGAGCTCCGAGGAGGCCGGCGCTGACGCATCATGGCCTTCTGAATTAGGGCTGATGATCTAAATGTCCCTGAAAAAAGGGTACCTTAAAGGAAACTATAGGGGTTCCTTTAAGGGTATCTGAAAGGGGCTTACAGGGGTTACTGAAATAGGGTTGATGATATAAACCCTGCATTACCCGTAACAAGGAACGCACCGTAATTCCGTGAGTCTCATGAAGGAAGTGCAGGATTTATATCATCAGCCGTAGGGCGCTTAGGATTCAGGGTTCAGGGTGTTCTAGGTGTGGTCTACTTGTGCTGCGGACTGTTGGCCACACTTGCATCGTTCCTGTTGAACGGCAGCGGGTTCCATCCAACCCCTTTGCTCAACCTCTGCGTCGCTGCGTGTCTCAGCCGATCTGTACCACTGCCCCTTCTGGAAGCCAGACGAACTTGGCAGAAGGTGGTGGTGGCTTGGAGACTGGAAGTGTCAGCGACACAGCTGTTCCAGAGATTCTTGGGTACACTGTCGTGCTGAGGATCTCAGCGCGCATCACTGGAGCACAACTACAGTCTACTTCCCGTTCTGCTATTGGAGGTGCATGTCTTCCGAAGGTGCTAACGTACGACATGGAAGGTGCTGCGGCTGGCAGCCGGAGGGCATCCCAACGACAACCCTAAACCCTAAACCTTGAACTTTTCCGCAGCAGGCAGGCCGAGTCCTGCGCGGAGCGGTTCTGGAGGTGGGCTTGGTGGTGGGCAAGCGGCGTACTACTGGGCGGTTTAGGGAAACGACTTGTAATTTTTGGTTAATCCCTTCCCCTAATATTAAACGCCCCCGTCCCCACCCTCTTAATACCAAATTTGGACTTCCGGGATTTAGTTTTAATATTAGGGGGGTTTCGGGGCATCCACGTAGCCCTAAATCTCTAAGCCTTAAAGCCCTAAGCCCTAGACCTCGAGCCCTGGACCCTAAAGCCCTGAGCATAAAACCTTGAGCCCTCAAGCCCCAAGCCCTTAAAACTTTAGCCCTGAGCCCTTTTTCCTTAAACCCTAAAGCTCTCGTGTGTTTAGTACAGCTGTAAACTTTGGCTCTATTAAAATTCATACAATCCTAGCCCCCCCTAATGTTTTTCATTAACTAATGTTTTTCATTAACTTTCAATTGTGGACCCGAAACCGCGAAGTTCCGGGGGCCGGGAGTTTTTACATTGGGGGGGTTTAATAGTAGGGGAAGGGATTACAAAAGCCCTTAATAAGCAGCCATATTCATAATTTTGCTAGGGTACCCAGTTCGGTACAGTCATGGGGGCTCTATCCGTAACAATCCAAACAGCACAAAGTCGGTATTAGTGAACGGTTTTCGACCCCAAAGTAAGTAGCGTTTGTAGACTTGTAGACTTGGAGGAGAACGGACTGGACTGGGAGGACTCCCGAGGGCCGCCGTCTGTTGACTGCAAGTCGGGATAGCATGACAAAGAGCCGTAGTGATTGGCAGTATGGCGAGAATGTTCGTGTTGCTATCACGAAATATCCAAGGCACGAAGTACGCGCAGAAGGGACTCAACACGGCAACGCCATGTCTACGCGGTAAAGCATGCGCACCTGCGAACGTGCTTGTGGCTCTATGCTAAAGGCACTTCTCACAGGACCGAAAAGGGGTTTTGCCAGCTATACGACGATCTCTCTGATCACAGCCGTAACGTGAGCCTGCCACGTGTACTGTAGCTCCTTGAACTGAGGAGCACCAGAGGAAGAGTTGCAGAAGTCCCTACGAGCAGTAAATTCGCTGGCTTGCATGGCAAAACCACGAGTGACTCGGTACGACAACTGGTCCAGAATCTGTCCCTGAATTTTCATGCATGTATGATCTGCTGCTGTTTTGGAATCTGCTTCAGAATGCAAGCCATGGACGCGCCCAAGAAATTCTCCACGAGGGAGTTCTGGCGTACCATGCAGACAGTTCCCGTGGAGCTGGCGGTCCAGCAAGACATCGGTTTAAAAGTTGATATCCTTCTGTCTCAGCTAGCCGCGGGTCTTTGTGCAATCGGTTCGGAGTCGTGTCAGGACGGTTTCAGATCGTCGCTCGTGCTGCAACGACGGCTGACCGTATCCAGCATCTCCGACGTACCCTAATTACAAGTCCAGCGAGTTGCTGCGGAAACTAGTGGCGTGGCGTTGAAATCCGGGTTGTGCCGCCATATCAGTGTGCAGGTTTGTTGTGATTTTCGTGTTGTTCCCCAGTCTGCTGTGCATACATACATGTCTGTAATATATACATATATACAAATTAGATCATATTATGTCATAGTATATATGAATATATATATATATATATATACATATACACACTACTGAGGTGCCATGGCTCAATGAGAACGGCCCGGAGGACATCGCTCGAGTCTGGTTTGGCTAGCAATGTGGTCCTGGGGGCTGAGGCAACTGACTGAAGTGTCTTCTTCTAGCCGCTTGCATGAGAGGGTCCATCAACTATCGAGACGGATGATGTCTGATGTATCAAGTAAGCATCCAGTAAGACACGCAAAACTTGTGGAGACCATGGCATGCTAGGGTTTTTTGAATCGGGGGTACATAGCTTCAGGGGGGTGACGTGGGATCTCTTGGCTAGTTGCCGTTACAAGGCCAGCATCCTCCTCTGATTACACTGCCGACGACCCCCACGAGTGCGCGTGAGTCGGCCAGCCCTCCCCACCCTCTATCCGCTAAAGTATCGGGCATTCTTGCTTTCGCTGGATGCCGTCGGGTGTTGCATGCCATATATTCGACAGATTGGTAATTTAATATCGCGAAAGTACAGGGCATGACTAAAAAATCCAGCGGGCGCTGCACCGCTTGTAAGTAAAGAAAATGCACCAACCGTATCTTTTGGGAGCTTACGACTCTGTTTTCGACGGATTCTATATAGCACGAATGTGACATGATCTGATGAGTCAGCACAGATCTGTGCTATGGCATTGAAAGTGGATGAACTGTCGATCCCGTGTTGGTGCAACCACTGACTCCGAGATGTCAGAATGTCAAGTGTTGGTAGTGTTGTTCCTAGAGTTGGAGGTTCTCCCACGGCACATAACTGCGAAAATCTAACCAATAAAGAGAGCTATTAACTCCACAATTCAGTCTTTGAGAACGAGATCCAATGAAAGTGGGATGTCTCCGATGGAAACACAAGCCGGACAGACCGGAAACGTCTGTCGATGTGGAGTCTGGGAGCATGGGCCCGGGTCCTCGCATTTACATTCGGCGAGGGGGGGCTGCTTCCTTGTGCGTCCGGGCCACTATCTGGAATTGGAACAGCTCTTTCTATCCGTTTGCCTGCTTGGAGATGTAGCATGAAACCTCTTAGCTCTTGAACATTCTACGACAATGCTGTCAGTGCTCTGTGGTGTATGGTCCGTATCATTCGAGCAGCTGCAACATAAGTTGTGTGGAAAATCATTCAGAATCAGTTGCCACCTTCTGTGCTGTTTGTGCCGACAGGCAGCCGAGTATTTTGCGGCCTATCTGCGATGCGGTGGGGCCGAAGCCGTGCGAAGGCGAAGCACAACTACAGCGTTGTGTCAGCTGTTTGGTCCGATGATGAAGTATGTGAACCGCTTGTGGGCAGGAACAGCACCCATTGCATGCTCGACGAAATCTGCGGGCTCCTTCATCAACGGCTGCGTCGCCTCAAAGGCGGTCCGCCGAAATGGCGTGACCACGGTGCAGAGGAGATGCAGTCGACGAGTATTGCAGTGACAGTTCATAGACCAAACCATAGAAGGTGTGGCCTATATGTCCCACCTGGCCAGAAGCTCATGAAGCTGCTAGACGACACCACCGTTCGCACAGGGCGCACTATGTTCTCAGAGCAGTGAAAACTCGACCATGCTGGAATCCATACGTGGTTTTCACAGAAGGACTTGGGAAACATTGTGGTCGAGGTTGCTGGTGTGAGCCCGCATCGCGAACCATATGTGTGTAACATGGGCAGAACGTGCAACTGCTGTGGCGGTATTGGGTTTCGGCCCTCATACATTTCTTTGTCTGGTGATGCCGGGAATTTTGGAACATTTCAGAACTTCCTCGTACATATATATGTATATATATATATAAAGAGAGAGAGAGAGAGAGAGAGAGAGAGAGAGAGAGAGAGAGAGAGAGAACCGATAATATGCATTTTTCACCTGCGTGACTCAGATATCTAAATAGCAAAAGTGCCACTCACATTCATTGTCTTGGATGTATTTTTGAACTGGATTCCGTGAGCGGATTCATGTCCGAACGGTTCATGTTCATATTGGACGATATTCCATTTACGTATTTATTTGTGTATTTCGTGAAGAGACCCGATAATAATTCAAAATTCAATTCATGTTTGTGGTCGGTCGGAGAGAATTGTTTGGAAAAGTGAATGATGTCCGTCTGATCGTGTTTGTGGTCGGTCGGAGAAATTGTCTGCACAAGTGAATGATGTCCGTCTGATCGTGTTTGTGGTCGGTCGAAGAAATCTGACCTGCTGTGTTTGATCGTGTTTGTGGTTGGTCGGAGAATAACACTGTCGCGCGTTTGATCGTGTTTGTGGTCGGTCGGAGAGAACGGTCTCTGAGTCATAGTTGTGCATCTGAAGGGGTTGTGGTCGGCTGGAGAAAACTGTCTTGGAAGAGGTGTGCATCTGATCGTGTTTGTGGTCGGTAGGAGGAAACTGTCCTGGAATATCGTTGTGCATCTGATCCTGTTTGTGGCGGGAGGTCGGGTTTGCCTTGACGTTTCATGGTCTTGCAATGAATCACACACAATTTCTAGTTATGCTTTTCTTGAGGGTTTACGGTTTAAGTTTTAGGGTTCGCCAGCGCAGTTGGCGCCCTGACCAACTCCTCTTTCTATAAGCCCTAAACCCATGAAGCCGAGGTTTATTTATAGGCTCCCTGGAACGGAACCCACGAAGTAATTAGCATTCAGAGTAGTCCTTGGAGCCTGGTTTTCTCCCTAAACCCTAAACCCTTCTCTAGAGCCCTTTTTTGATGGTTCTTTAAAGCCAAAAGGGTTCCTTCGAGGCTTCGCTATTTTGGGCTCTTCTAAGGGCTGCTTTTAGGGTTCCTTAAGGGAGCCCTTAACCAAGGGTTTCATTAAGGGGTTCGTTCTTTACGAGATCATAAACGGTTCCTTTCGTAGTTTTATCACCATTCTCTCTTGAAGGAACCCTAAACGGAACCCCTAGAGGAACCCTTAAAGGAACCCTCAGAGGAACCATTGGAGAAACCGTTGAAAGGTTCCGTAGGAAGAGACCTGTCTTCGCAGGTGCTGCGCGGCTCTTTCAGAAGCGCCTTGCAAGCTCCGAGAAGATTGCCAGGTCGGAGGCTCCAGAGGTTAGCGATCTTTTGGAGTTAGGATTCCTTTTAGGCTTAGGGTTCATGGGTTTAGGCTTGAGGGTTCGTTTTTGTTTTTTTGTTAGGGTTCTTTTTAAAGGTTTAGGGTTTTAGGAGTTTAGGGTTCCTTGTAGGTTTATGGCCGAGCGCAAAAGGTTTCTGATTCGGTAGCTCGGGTTCAGGATTGTGTCTAGGGCCCAGAGAGAATGCCAAATCATTCATGGGCGCCGCTTACGACGGAGGACATCGGCAGCATGCCTTCACTGAGCCCTATAACCCCAAAGACCCCGACCAAGAAGCCCGTTCTGAAGGCCTTCACGAATCAAGCTCGAATTCCTGGGCACTGAAATTTCCTTCTCTTTTAAAAGCCTTGTATATTTCTTCCTTCGAAATCCGACAAGGTTAACACCACATTCCACGGCACCCTTCAACCCGAAGCTCCCTCATCTGGTGCCTTGCGAAGAAGCTGTTGTCCAAGTAGAGCACATTCACAGGGCCTCCGCAAAAGCCGAGACTTTCCAGCCCAATCCCTATGCCCCAACTACCGCAAACCTTAAACACTAAATTCCGAACCCTTATGTCCCAAACCCTAACTCTGAAGTCCCGCAGCTCTAAGCCAGAACAGTATAGTACAATTTTGAATTCCTTATTACAAGTATAGTCTAATATACCCCAAAACCCCATTCTGATCAGTAAGACCCCAATATTAAACCCAAAATCTGAGCCGCAATGCCGACAGTCTTACGCCAGGTTTGGCGACCTGCCCGAGGAGGAGGGCGAAGGCTTTCAGGCACCGAACGCCCCCGAGTTTCTTTCATTTACCCTACAGGATATGGGGGTTTGGGTTTACGCTTTCGGGTTTAGGGGGTACTTTGGTCCATACAGACTTTAAGTGGACTTGGCCGTGCTCGTTTGAATTTTGCAGTTCGTGTATCATGCAGACAGCGCGAACATGTGGTCAGGAAATATGTCTAGTCTTGGTAGATGCTAGCAAACCCGCCCGAAAGATCCCAAGAAGCAGAGCAGGGATGAATCCAAACGGGGTTTCGTCATCGAGCATGTAGTTGGAGCCGATGGTAAGCCAAAGCAGGTGACTGCCGTTATGATCGTTATGATTTGAATAAATTCAGAAATCTGAAGAGATTAAACCATTAACCCCAAAACTTACGCCCTAAATTATAACACCCCAAACCCTCAATCCCCAATTCCCCAACCCCCCATCCACAAGACGAAACAGTACACACCCAATCTCGGAAAGACTGTCTGGTTCTTAGTAGGGAATGGGGGAATGGGTTCTTGGGACTACTCTAAGGGACCTGAAGGGATCCATTCCCCCATTCCCTACTAAACCCTAAACCCTAAACCCTGAAGCCCCTAAACCCTTAGACCCCTAAACCTGAAACCCTAAACCCTCAAGCCCATAAGCCCCTAAACCTAAACCCTAAACCCTACATGCCCAAAAGCCCCAAGAATCAGCCAGAAGAGGCCTGGGGGGAGGCACCCATCCTCGAAGGCGCGGCTGGTCTTTCTGGAGATCAGTTCTGCTGCTAGCTGAAGCTTTCACATAGGGGCCCAAAAATACCAACACTATTTTGTGGGTTCCTTGTTATAGGTATAGTGGAAGTTTCGTGTTATTTTTGCTTATTTTGTCTGCTGCTTGTTTGTTTTCGTTTGCTGGTGGGGCATCGTTCATGGCTTAAGCACACCCCATGCCCACTTTCACCCTAAACCCCGCAGCCCTCTATGATCCTTGGATCGTAAAACGAATCTACGAATCTGAACCCCAAATCCGCGCCAGAGGAATACCGTTTGAGTTTGCGCAGCCAACAGGGAATCATCTTGCTGCCCCGTGCGTGTGTGCGTGTTTGGTTCGGCCACTCCGGACCCCAAGCCCTTTCTCCGAGCCAGTGCCCGGACCCAGCTTAGTTCCCGCGTGAAGGATCACAGAGGGAAGAGCTTCTGGGTTGTCTTGCCAATTGCCTGAATCCAACCCAGGCCGCACAGTTGCGGGGGCCTCCAGGCCCATGGAGGTTCGGGTGGCCTCGAACTCTTGCAGCCGGATCTCCCCGATGACGAGAACGGAGGGGGGAAGAGATGGCGGGAGGGAACGGTTCCGCTCGGCCGGAGTGCACCCCAGACCATCCACTCACTCACTCACTCACTCACTCTTACAGGCTCATAAGTTCCCATAAGCAGCCTGCTTAAGCCGATAAGCCGGCAAAACCCAACAACCGCCTGCAAAACCAAAGAAAGGCCAAAGCTCCTAACATCCAGTCTGGTGCTTAGTGGGGGATGGGGGAATGGATCCCTCTGATAGCCCTTTCAGGTCCCCTATAGCAGTCCCAATAACACATTCCCCCATTCCCTGCCAAGAATCAAGCAGAATCGCTGAGAAGTTGTTTAAGTATAATTATGAAAGTACAATATATTCATTTTTAATAATAACTTTATAGTAGTAATGAACATAGTATATTAAGAGACCGCGGTGAACGGATCGGAGGTAAGTCGCCCTCTCGTCGTTCCTGGAGACCGTCTCAGGCACAGCACGAGCTGATGCAGGCCAAATTCTGCACCCTGAACCTCCCAATTTTGGGTAATGTAGGGACCTGATCAAGAAACCCTGGTCCTATAACCCCAAATATATTAGGGTCCACGATACGGAACCTTAATACCGGCCCAAGGTTTCTTAATCAGGTTCGTAGATTAGATTGTTGAAACAACCTGCGCGGTTAAGGGCTTGCAGAATAGGGTTTACGGCCTTTAGGGTTAAGGGTTAACCCTGAACCCTTCTAGACCTTAAACCCTTATAGCCTTAGAAAGGTGGGTTGCTTGGGGTCCTTTAGGGTTCCATGGGCTTCTGGCTTCAGGGTCGTATCGTTAAGCGAGGGAATGGCGGTGATGCTCCCAAGGAAGGTGCTCGGAAGCGGATCAAGGGCAAAACCAGCAAGGCGGAGACGTCGACGGTCTTGGAACCGACCCACTTAACGATACAGTTCTTGCCGGACTCCGCCTTGTTATGCTTGCTCAGAAAGCTTCAAGAAATTGTTAGATTCATCTCGCGGGAGGTCTACCCTCTTCTGAAGCCGGACTTCCTCTCCATCAGCGTGCCTGTGGCTTGCGGCGGTCTGCAGCCGTACGATGCCAAAGAGTAAAGTTCGGTCTTGGCCGACCCTGAACCCTAAACCCTAAACCCAAAATCCACGTGTCTCGTTGATAGTCTTTGGCTCAAAGAGATGAACTTCATCCACAAGTTGCCCCCCCGGCCTCGGCCAAATGGGTGGTTGTCAAAATTATTGTCCCTTTTTGGGTGTCCTAAATATTAGGTGCCGCATTATAATAGGGACCCAAGAAGGGACCATGATTCTGACAACTACCCAAATCGAGAATGCTTGTGACTACCTCCGTGTGGTCTCACAGTGTTCAAGCGTTTCGGTTTCAGGGCCCAAACAACCCCCCGAAACCCTAGACCCTGAACCCTAAGCCCTAAACCCAACCCAGAACCTTAAAACCCTCCGGCACCCCAGGACCGACTTGCAATGTGTAATCCCGCCTTTGCTTCGCGTCACCTTCAGATACACCTACGCCCGAACTCTGAAGCCACATCTCGAAACACGCAGTTTTTCTGAGGAAGCCTCGAAGGGAACCTCGAAGGATCCCTTAACGGGCACCCGATTATAGAGCTGCATAGCACCCTTACAGGGAAACCTATTATGGATGCCCATATTACCCTTAAAGGCACCTTTAAAAGGTACCCTTATATAACCCTTACTTAGAGGCCCAGGGGACTTAGTAAGTAGGTCATAAATAGGGTTATAAGTACTTCAAATGGAGTTACCCCAATAATATCCCTACTTTAAACTACTTACTACGCTCCCTGGGCCTCTAAGTAACCCTAAAGTCCCTTCTTATAGAACCCCTTTTAGCTTGTTGTAAGGAAGCTTTAAAAGAACCCTTTAAGGAACCCTTTAAGGCTAAGTCCCCAAGGCCTGTAAGTATGGGAAGCCAAGAGCTTTAGTTGAAAAGGAGGCCTTTCAAGGAGCCGAAGCTTGGCACCCTACTTAAAGGATCATGGGACTTAGTAAGTTATAATTGGGGTTATAAGTCCCCTAAGCGGGGTTATAAGTCCCATGAGCCTTTAAGTACCCGTAAATCTCCCTAAGTCCCGGGGGTCCCACCCAAACCCGCAAGCCTATACAGAAGCCTAGGTAAAAAGGGGGTGCTGAACACATCCGACACCCCAAAGCCTCTGCCCAGAAAGCCGGATCCACAAACTAAACCCCGAAGCCCGAAGCCCTAAACCCTGAACCCAACACCGTGAAAACCGAAGCCCGAAACGGTAAAGCTTAACCTTAAACCTTACCTTGAGCTACTAAAGCCTACTGTGTTGAAGGGTCCTTATAAATTCGTTTCTAGGGTTCATAACACACGATCTGTCTAAACCCTACATTAACCCCAGGAAACCTATCTGGGTAGTTGTCAAAATTAGGGTCCCTTTTGACAACCACCCATTTGATTTTGAGGACTTAATTTAAGGAACACACGTAAGGAACCTGAACATGTAGGTTTGTTAGGGTCCAAGTACACCCTAAACCCGAAACCCCGGGCCCTAAACCCCTAAATCCTGAACCCTGATCCCGAAACCTTGAACCCCGAACCCTGACCCCTCAACCCGAAACCCTGAAATCCCATCGAAGCTTCAAAGCGGTAGGCCCTGCAGTTCCAGCTGAGTGGTTTGGACCTCGGGTGCTTAGGATGGCTCCTGTCAGGGCTCCTTAAGGGTTTTTTCAAGGGTACTATAGGGTTTTCTGATAGGGTACCCTTTAAGCGAGCCCTCAGTGGCTTAGGGCTTCTTGGTCTTAGGGTTCAGTGCTCAGGATTTGGGTTGTAGGCGTTCAGGTTTGCGGGTGCTTTCAAAGGCCTCTTAGGTTACGTTTAATGCGGAAAGCTTTCTTTGTATGGGTATCTTGTAGAGGTTCCTTAGGTAACTCCCGCGGGTTTGCGGTTAAATGGCTTCAGGGTGCTTTGTGAATAATAGGGTACCCTATTACGGAACCCTGTACTGGAAGCATGCACTAATGGGACCGTCTTCCAGAAATCTACCTATAGTTTCGATTGTAGTTCGCTTTTGGGGTTACCTCATAGGATCCTAGTTACATATTTGCCTAAAGCCAAAAGGGAACCATAATGGAAACTACAGGTATAGTACGCTTTGAGGGTTTAGGGTTGAGTTGAGGGCTCTAGCGGGGTTTACCTTAAGGACGAACGTACCCGAAAAGGCTTTAAGGTTCATATACCATATACGGATTCATAGTATATGGGTACAGGGCCCCTTCTGCTTTTAAGGGTCATTTGGTCCTTCAGGTAGGACTTCCGGTTTAATGAAGCGGTCGAAGCGGTCGTCGGAGGATCCGGCGAGACCGACGCTGTGGGGGTCTATGGGTACTGCTGTAGGAGCCCTAAACCCTCAACCCTCAAGCCTCCGGCCTAGTTTTGAAGTTAAGGATTTAGAACACTAGAGCAAGATCTTTTTTGATGGGCCCTTGTAATGTATGCTTGCTGTCCTCGTTTAAGGAGGAGGCCCTGCTGATGTACTGCGGGGAATACTGAGACTACACAAACTGGGTGATAGACCCTTATAATGTAGGGGCCTTAATAATTAGCTGTACTATTTTGGGGGCTCCTTATTATAAGTATAGTATAATGGGCCCTAAACCCTATTCTAATTATTAAGGCCCCTATGTCACACAAACGGGTGATAAACCCTAGACGCGTTGTCACGATGAGGCGGGCCTTCTATAGCAAGACAATTATAGAAGGTATAGAGTGTTCGGAAGTCGGAAGTTGAGAAGAAGCAGATTCACAGAGAAAGGGGCATCAGAATTTCATCAGCGTTTTGTAGGACCCAAAAAAGAATGATGTTCAAGCGGGTTGACCCAAATGTATTTATGAAACGATGTACAGAAGTTTCCCACATATATAGTTATATAATATAACCATACAGATAATACACCGGTTATTGTCGCAACTTGATTGAGAAACCTTGGGCCTTTATTATCTTTATTGGGGTTCCTTCTATGAATCTTGTCATTTTGGGGTTATAGGCCCAGGGTTTCTTAATCAGGTTCCTACATCAATCAAAGATCATCCCGGTAGAGGCCTGAACCCCAACGAATTTGTTTGAAGTGAACTTGATCTTAGAAGCTGCCCCCACCCTGTAATAGTGACTATAAGGATTATATTGGGGCCCGCTTATATTTCCATGATACTACTATTGCAGGGTGGGGGCAGCTTCTAAGCTTGATCTTTTTCAGGAGGCGAAGTGCAAAGGACCATGCCCTGAACTGGACGCAAGAGACAGTGAACGGTTTAGGGTTTACAGTAGAAGCCAGAAAGTTGGAATATCATCATGGTAAACCCTTTAAGGTAAATTATAGGGGATCCTACCATTAATCCATATTCCAACTTTCTGGAGTTCCCTTTAGGGGTTCCGAAACCCTGAACCCCAAACTCTACGCCTCAAACCCTGAACCCTGTAGTTACTATAGTTACAACACATGCGTACGGAACGCAGATTGAGAAGAATGGCACCGGCCCCCTCTGAAACACAGCCTTGCATACTTAAAGCTCTTCCTTAAGGCCCCGGTTAAAACCGCCAAAATTCAATCCTTAGTCTCATCAAGATACTACTCAGCTTCAACTGAAAGAGGTTGGTCCTTCTTAGCTGACCATTATGGGAGCTATTAGTGCCATGAGTTGTTAAAGCTGTAGGCAGCGGCATTCTTCATGTCGCCGCCATGTAACCCTAGGGATCAAAATAGCCCAGAAAGCCTTATATAGTATGGTCTTTGGGCCCAAAAGCCTTAATATATGAGTCCTTAGATCCCTAGGGTAACGGCTTCCATGGGGCTTCATAATATTATTACTATTATTACTATTATTTCTATTATTATTACTACTAGTATTACTAGTATTACTATTATTACTATTCTGATGCGGCTTTGGCTTGTTGCTGTAGCTTTGTCTCTGGTAGTGCTTCAGCACAAGCCGGTAACCTCCATGGTTTTGCAGATGCATGACAATCGAACAAGAACTCCGCGATCCATTCACCGGTGCAGGTGTGCTAAGAGTTAGTGCCACCTTTCGGACAAAATGCTCCGTGTTTTGAAGCTGTCTGGTGAAGAGCTGGCCGCAGTGCCGCTTGATACCCTCACTCCTGAGACTGTGATAAGTTTGAAGCGCCATTTGCACCTTATTCTTGGCATACCATTGTGCATGCAGTCAGTGGTAACATGCAATCGTTGTTTGGATGATGCTGCTAAGCTGGATGGCCTCAGTGATGTGCAGCTGGTTTTCCAGCATGTTTCCACTGCGGCATCACAGTGGGAGTTTGCGGAGGCGCTGCTTGGTGCATGCACCGAGGGCAAGGTTGAGGAAGCGCGCATGCTGTTGGAAGCGGGTGCGGATGTGAACAGTAGAGAGGAAGGCAACCTAGTTGGTCTGGGCCAGACACCTCTCATTCGGGCCTGCCAGGGAGGCTATCTTGAGGTTGCGCGTAGGCTTTTGGAAGCTGGTGCCAAGAAGGAGCTCAGGGGAAACGACGGTTTGACCGCTCTCATGCGGGCATGCAACGCGGGCCACGTTGAGCTTGGGCGTCTGCTGGTAGAAGCTGGCGCTGATTTGAACTGGACGGACGACAATGGCTTCACAGCTTTGAGTCAGGCATGCAAGAGAGGCGACATGGAGGTCGCACGTTGGCTTCTGGCAGCTGGTGCCGACGTGAATCGGGTTGATGTTGATGCAGATGGCCTGACAGTTCTCGCTCGGGCATGCGAGGGAGGCCAGATTGGGGTTGCGTGTATGCTTTTAGAAGCTGGTGCGGATGTGAACAGGTTTGACAATGATGGCCGAACAGCTCTCATTCGAGCATGCGAGGAAGGCCATCTTGGAGCTGCACGCATCCTTTTGGGAGCTCGTGCTGATGTGAACAGGACGGCAGATGCAGATGACGTCACGCCGCTCATTGCGGCATGTCGCGGAGACCATGTTGAGATCGCGCAGATGCTCTTGCAGGCTGGTGCCGACAAGGATCCTCAGCACACAGCTCTCATGGGTGCAAGCGAACGCGGCAACATTAAGGTTTCCGGCATGCTGTTGGAAGCGGCGGCGGACCAGACACATGACGGCTACACAGCGCTAATGTCGGCTTGCTACCTGGAAAACATTGAGGTTGCACGTATGCTGTTGGAAGCTGGTGCCAGCAAGGACCTGCAAACATATGATGGCTACACGGCTCTTGTTGCCGCATGCCGGCTGGGACACTTTGAGGTTGCACGTATGCTTTTGGAGGCTGCTGCTGATACGAACGTGGCTGACCAAGTTGGAGACACCGCTCTCTCTTGCGCGCAGGATCGAGGCCATCTTGACATCGTGCAGTTGCTGACCGGAAGTAGGTGCAAGTGACACGGTGCAGGACGACATCGTTCGGCTGGCGGAAGCCCTCGCTAAGACGAATCTCAGATGCAACGTGCTGACCGCAGCTCACGCGCTTGCATGAGCTCACACTTGCGCTGCGAAGCTCAAAAGCACCATGGACAGCATGTGCAGCAGCGAATTAGTTCTGCCGTTCCGCTTGGGACTGGAGGAAAACCATGACACAGGTTGGCCCAAGCCACTTGATATTTTCGTTGTTGAAAACGGGTTGTAACATAGAAGCCTTTGATTGAAACAGCAGTATCATTCGGTAGGGCCAGTAGGCGACAACATATGCATCCCCACTGTGTGTGTGTACATACAGGTGTAAAGAAGATATCTAGAACTTGCTGCAAATAGATTGCAGAAGTCTGAGCATTGCATCGTATTCTTGGGGCCAGGAGGATGGGGGTTGGGGTATTCGTAGACTGTAGTCATAATAGGGAATCCTTAAACTAGCATTTCAAATTGTTTTGGGCTTTTTACAGAGAAGCAGCTTTGCGACGCCGGCGATTGGTTTGTTAAAAGCCGTTCTGGCTCAGATATGGTTTTGAGCAGTTCAGCGATTTCAACAAGGGTGCGTATTCACAGGTGTTGTGGCTTCAGGATGATTTTGATCTTGCTGTGCTTCGACGTGGGACAATAGGATACTACCAGGTATAAAATACCCAAACCGGATCGCAAGGGGAGGGATACCTGTCGCTCCAAACCTTGTGGTGGGTTATGACTCCCTTTTCAAAAGTGTATAACCGTTACAGCATCAGGAGAGGTCATTGGATCTCCTTGTAGGTTTTCTCTGCAAGGATTTGGAGTTCATTGGCCCTTCGTAACGGAGCAGGCTGAGCATGTATCTAGGATGCCCAGTAGTACCCTTATTCCCTTTTTGTAGTCCTAGGTTCCTTATAAAGTTACCCAATACCAAAAAGAGAGGCCTTTTTATTCTTAGGTTACTCGGTATCCTAGGTAGTTACTTGTCATGATTTGGGCAGTGCTGGGATATGTTGAGAAAGGGGTATACGGCCTAAGCGTACGATGAATATGGACATGCTTCTTCCTGGTCTTAAGTACCCTATAATTGGATTGCTCCCAACTTCACCTTATGCTTCTAAATTCCCCCCCGGCAACCTCCTAGACGCCGCTACAACTACAAGAGCGTTCCTCAAAGGACCACCCTAAACCCCTAGCCAGAAGCCTTAATTAGCGACTTCGGCCCGAATGACAAATCTAAGCCAGCCGAAAAGCCCCGAAAAAGAAGCCTAACCCTTCAGGTCCTACTGTTGATGGACAAAATCCTGCATGACCCTTTATAAGGAATATACCATAGTTCCCATAGTTTAGAGTCCTTAGGGTCATGCAGGATTTTGTCCATCAACAGTATTGGTACCCAAGAGTCGTAATTGTTTACGCCGTTTGCGAGGCCGCAACACTGGCGACTCCGACATTCTGGAAGCATGACGCGAGACCATCAAAAGCGTCGGGTTCAGGGTTTGGGTTTAGGGCCACTGCCAGTGTCCTCAAAACCCTACTCAGCAACTACTACATTCCATCATTCCCAGTGGGTATTCGTAGCGGTGTGGCGGGCCTAAATGGGTTGGTAAGGGCTTACAAGGAGCCCTGAACCCTAAACTCTAAATCCCAAACCCTGACGCCGGGTTTAGTTCTTATGCGCAACCACAAAACCCTACAAAATGCCAGGCTTATGGCTCTTTGATTCTCGGGTGTTAGGTCGTTAGGTCGGGCATTAGCGTTGACTCATTTTACATGGGGGTCCAGTTCGGATTTCCTCAGCGTTTGGCGAGTTTAAGGCTTTGTGTTGGAGGGTCTAGGCACTTCCGGTAGAATCCGGTACAAGTGCGTGAGACTACCGCCATGACTGTTGCATGCAGGCAAAGCAGGCTAAACAAAAACCATGGCTCAGAACTCATCCATCATCGATCGCATGAAGTATGATGGGGTTCCGATGACTCAGTAGCAAACCCCATTCCCGTTTCTGCATACACTGCAAGACTTCAACCGCTCGTGTCGGTGGCTTCTTACCATGGGCTTTCTGTGGACAGCCGGGTTCGTTACAAGGGTTGAAGGAGCATGGTCCAATATAATAACATACTTCAACATGGTGTAATGATATAAACTATGACATACATGGCACTGTCGGTTGTCGGCATCGTTGCCGTTGCAGTAACCTCTTGTTCAGGTTCAGGAGCTCAGATGTGGGGTTAAGTTCAGGTTTTAGGGTTTGGGGTTTCAAGCTTAGAATCCTCAATGCCTAGACAAAGCCACCCAAAATGCACGCCATCTTACTTATCATGCGCACTGTAGATGATTTTGTGGTTCACCACATGCACGGCTAGGATCCCACGATACACAGGCGCTGGCCACAGTTCACGCGTTGCTTGAAAGGCTCAAGTCCATCTTGCTCGTGGTTTGCAAATTCCTGACATTTAGCTCCACAATGAAGCTGATGATTGTGGCGGCGCTCACCTGCACCTCCTTGGCCACACGCATAGCTACGGGGAAGCAGCATGACCATAATATGATCGCCTGCATGCCGGGATCGCAGGTTCTCGGATACTGACGGTTGCGGATCTTTTGGGACAGCAGCGGTGTGCAATTCTCATTACGTTTTCTCGACGGAGTTCAATGCCTTCGGCGCTTGCCACTGGTGGTTTGAACTTTTCCAATGGGATGAGGAGCCAGAACAGTGTCTCTTCGCGCTTTCCCCAGAGAAGAAGCGTGCGTTCTATGTCTCTTCGGTTTTCTACCGCCCTGACTCAGATCCTGGTGGCGGCATCCCGTTTTATCAGCCAGTGCCACTGGATGAGTGCGACCCCGCAGTCATCGAGCAGCAACATAACGGCTACATGCACTGGTACAAGGACCCCTGCCTAAACCTTAACCCGGAAACCCTAAACCTAAACCGGAAGCCCTAAACCCTAAACCGGACACCCTTCACCCTAAACCCTAAACCCTCAACCCTACACGCCGGTACAAGGACCGCTGCGTCAAGCAGCTTTGCGCCATGGCACAGCAGGGCACCTGGGCGCCGCTCCCGGTGTTCCAGCAGGCGGCAAGCGAATCCGAATGGCCGCAATACAGCACCCTAGCTGAAGGAATGAACTTTACCATGTTGAGATAATCTCATAATCGTCACCATAATACGAATACCAGCAATAGTACTAGTAGTATAGTAATAAGAATAGTGATAATAGTAATACCCTCTAGGACTGAAGGTTCCTTGCTTCGGGGATTCTGAACGCAGCAACAGAGGCCGCGTCCCGAACACCTGGGGATGGGCTCAAGCCATGGAGAACCTTTGCTTGGTGCCGCCAACATGGACCCAGGTCGGCAGTTCTCTAAATTACATAGGGTCTCTTTTAGGGTTTAGGGATTAGGTCCCTTTTCGGGTCCTTGGTATAAGGGTGCCGTATTTATGAGGGATCTTAACTAGGAGAACTGACCAGGTACCGTGGGGGGATTATCTCTTTGCCGACATGATCTACCACTCCAACGACGGCACCACCCTCATGTGGAACACAAACCAGTGTCCCGGCGGCGTCCCCGTCCCCGTCCCCGTCCCCGTCCCCCTATTTATGACCCATGGCCATATGCTACTTAGTCCGAAGCCACCGAGACGAGGGGCACAGCTGCATCGTGACCAAAACATCCGAACCCCAGGCCCGAAGCCCCAAACATGTTGCGTTGGAGGAGAAGGGTGACAGCAGTGGCAGCAGCGACATCATCAGCATCATCTCCGTCATCGTTTTGTTTTGGGACGTCATCATAACTGTCTCAGCCGCTAATGTCTCTAATTTTCCATGGCCATCCCCCTGTTCGTCGTCATCATTACCAGCAGCAGAAGCACCACCACCATCACCGCCACCACCACCACCGCCGTCACCATCACCATCACCATTACCATGACCAGCATCAGCATCAGCATCAGCATCGTCCTCCGCCTCCACATCACCATCATCACCTTCAGCACCATATCACATCACCTTCATGACAGGCATGGTCATCCCCGTCATCATCACCGGCATCAGCATCAGTATCAGCATCGCCATCTTCCTCCTAATCCTCATCATCATCATCATCATGATCATCATCATCAACATCAGCGCCTTCCTCCGTCGTCAGCTGCGCCATCACCATCGTCAACAGCATATCCGCCCCCCATGCATGCTTACACATAACGGTCTTTGCAGATGCTCTCATCCGCATCATCGGCGCATCATTGCCACCTCGTCGGCTCCCTTTCTTCCCTAAGCCCAAGACTTCAAGGCCGAATGGACCACCTCCAAACCCTAAACCCCTGGGCCACTAAACACTAAACCCCAAACCCTAAACACTAAAGAGCTCTAAGCCAATTTGGGGATCCGGCTTCGTAAGAAACCTCGTCCAGAACCCAACACCAGGGTTTAGGGGTTTAGGATTCAGGGGTGTCTGGGCTTAGAGCTTTGGTGCGTTGGGGGTTTAGGGGTTAAGGCTCCTCTATAGTCGTGTGAAGCCCCTCAGGGAGGTAAGAAGAGACTTGACGGGCACAACCGAACCGAAAACCTCAGAAGCAGGGCCATCAAAGGTGCCTTTTTCTGTAGATTTCTGTTTAGGGTTTTAGGGCTTAGGGTTTTTTCAATCATGGGGCCTGTGCTGCCGCATTTCGGCTAGCAGCCTGTCCTCGGCCTCCAGTGCAAACTCTGCACGGCGCTGCGAGGCCTGCGATGGTCCCCGTGCTCGGTTCTTGTTAGGGGGTCTAATTTTTCATGTAAACTACCATGCTGGTAATAGGGATCCACAAGGGTTCCTTTAAGGGATCTATAAGGCTTCCTTTAGGGGTGTAGTTTAAGCTACCATTAGCGAGAACTCAGGATGGGCCCCGTGGTCCCTGAAAGCCCTCAAATTTCAAACCCTAAACCCCAAAGCGCTACCTCAAAGCCCAAACCCTAAACTCTCAAATCCTAAACCCCAAAACCCTAAACCCCTAAACCCTAAAACCCCCCAAAACCCCAAAAGCCCTCCCTAAATCCTAAACCCCCAAACCCCAAAACGCTCTCCCAAAGCCTCATGCATTTACTGGGTCAGCCCTGCACTGAAGACTTTCACACAGGTCAGGCGCAAGGTTTCGAGATTCCGCTGGGTCCGCTGTCATTAACATAGGGTCCTTAATAGTTAGAATAGAGTTCCTCTAAAGGTTCCTTATTATTTTTTTGTTGGGGGGGTCTTTGAGGATTACTATTTATACGGGCTGCTCATGGGAGTTTCCGAAAACTACGGGAACCTTGTTCTGGGGTCCTTGTTAATACAAGGATCCTACTATTTATACAAGGTAGATACTATTAGGGTGCCCCATCGTCGGAAACCCCATATAGGGGCCTTAATGATTGGAATGGTGGGTTTGGTGTAGGGGCATTACTAATTTGAACAGGAGCTTTGAGAGACATTTTACAATAATTCGAATGAGGAACCCCCACAATAGCATTGGCAAGTATTTCAGCCCCTATATTGGATAGAAGCCCAGGCTGTTCAGGGTTCATGGTTTGGGGTTTAAGGTTTTTGGGTTTCAGTGTTTTGGATTTGGGGTTTTGGGGTTTAGGGTTTGAGGTTTAGGGTTGAGGGGCTTAAATTGAATAGTTTAGAGTCTAGGGCTTAGTGTTTACGGTTCAAGGTCTAAGGTTAAGAGTTTGTGCAGGCAACCATCGGTCGAATGCGTGAGATATCTTCGTCGTATCAGAAACATAGCTATGAATCAAGCTTCCGGGCAGGATCCCACAAAGAGATGCCTGAAATGTGTATAGACCCTGGACTACTACATACTACAGGGTACTCGCAAGGAGCCTTAGGCAATCCTTTTCTGAAGCCTCGCAGGGGCATGGCTGGTTTCTTTTGGGGTCCAAAGACACAGTGGCAGTTTCCCCTTGACGCGATTACTGTGTGTAGTGTGACGCTTGTATACTCTCAAATCACGACCCAGTTGTAACTATTCCTGCCCTTACAATGCTTCTGCAACCGAAAGCTTACTCTTGCCCAAGTAGACCACCAAACCCTATCCAGCATTGGCTATTTCATACAATCTCTTTATGCCAGCCCTAGAACCTTCAAGCCCGTAACCTTCTCAGAGGACCCTCAGCGTGGGTCATGTTTTATTGTATTGTATGGTATGGTATTGTATTCTATCCTATTGTAATATAGACTATGTTATACTGCATTGCATTGTATTTTATCAATAAGTTATATTACCCTAAGCCCCAAAACCCCCCAAGCCCACATGGTATCATGCAAGGGCTCCAGGGTTGGTTGACCATGCTGATTTCGTTTTGCGTCCGAGGTGGCTTTCTGGAACAAGATACATCTCTCAACCGCACACTTCCCACATGTTTAGGGTCTAGGGCTTAGGATTCAAGGTTTAGAGTTTAGGATTTACATAGCAAGCAAAAAATCGCAAGAATCCCACGAAGCCT